GCCGTAGCCCCTTCATTCACTTGTCTCCAGTTGTTTCCCACTTCTGCGTCTCCTCTTCCATGATCTCCAGTACTAGTACTAGGCCTAAGAAGGGGAGATCTAGACCTCTCTCTGCTCTCAGTACTCCCAGCACCAGCTCCCTTTCTTTTACCAGGCCCCTTCCCTTTACCCCGTGAAGGACACGCCCCTCTACTCGACTTACAAGTTGAATTTGACGGACCGGGTTCATCAAGGTCTGACTCACTCGAAGACTCGTCTCTGCCTATGACATCGTTCCCATCCGAGTCACTATCGCTACAATCGAGCTCAGATTCATCCTCACACATAGTTTGGAACAAATCTACGGCAGCTTGGGCAGAAAGCCTTTGCTGTCTTCCATTGTTGGCAGCAGCCATAATAAACAAACGAGCTGACTTGAGTTGACAAATTCGCACTGAAAAAGTCACAACAAATTCACTGGAAAATACGCTCCAAACACCACAAACTGGGTTCAAAAATTGCGTACTTCCGTTCTAAAGTGATCTCTAAGAATGAAGATTTCCGTACACGGTGTAGTTTTTACACAAAGCCCCAGAATATTAGGTGACATAGAGAGCCACATGAAGTGGCGTGCCGGCGTTTTGGCTACGTTTAGTGCGCCACGTGAGGTGGCGAGCCGGACACTAAGAGTTAAGAGTAATTTCTCTTATGGGTTTTTGAAAAGTTCACATTACTGTCTACTCACTTGAGGCAGTAACATCAAAGACATGATAAGTCAGAGATCACAAATCGTGGTGTGGTATAGGTTTGATGCCCAGTTCAACACATTAACCCCTTGGATTCTTTAGAGTGATTGTTGAGCAGGCCTTGCAGTGAAAGGGTCAAGGATGTTAAAGATCTGTGATCTCAGATTTATCCTTGATCTTCGATGTTGCTGGGACAAGTGGGTAGAGTGAGAACTTCTCAAACAACCCATGTTAAATATTACCCTGAATGGGGTTTGAACCAGGGCCATTTGTGCTGCAGTCCGACATGATTCAGTTCCTATCAAGCTGAGGTCCTGGATGTGTCTACAGGAACTGTTTTATAAAAAGATCAAGCTAAATTTATAACTTACCAATTATTTTGTGTTACCTTAGTTTTTGTCATGCCAGACTGTGGTGGGGTCAGAATCTGGTTTGAAGCCCAGAGGTGCCTTTTGTTAACTGTTTAAGCTGATACTGATAGAAAACGCCTTTTTTACTGGGTCGCTCATATCTCTTTAAAAGTATAGATATTAAGCCACTGTACCCGTAATCGTTAGATTGCGAGTTCGGGGGTTCAAGCCTCAGTTCAGTCCATTGTTGTGTCCTTGGGAAAGGCTCTTTACACAAATTTCCCATTTGGCTTGGTCTTTTCGGAGAAAGACGTTAAACTGGGAGGTCGTGCCTCATAAATAACCTAATAGTGCTGATAGGGGTGTTAAACCTATACTGTTTCACCATTTTGAAGACAAACCCAACCCCAAAGACCCTTCGAATCTCTTATGTAGAGCAGATCAGACATTGATCTCCAGAGCCCGCACAGGACTCTTATACACCAACTAGCAAATAAACAGAATTAACCCCTTGTGGGAACCCATTGCAGACACTGTGACTACCTCAAGGAGACCGTTGAACATCTTTTCCTTCACTGTCCAAACCTGGTAGTTCTCCGACGTAGGCTTCTACACTTACAAAGCCTGCTCTAATCTGGCGTTGACCAGATGACAAAGACATGTGGTTACTTGAGGGAGACATTGTGCTGCCAAGAGTGAAATACTCGCAGCTAAAGGGATTTGAAAACAACAACAAACTCCATTTTGAAATATTTTAATGGACTGTGACTAGTAGTGCAATAGCTTGTTTAGTTTTAAATCCTTTCTGGAATACGTCTTTGAAACAAAAAAGAAGACTCTACTTCAACCCTTATATTTCATTTCCACCCTGAAACCTTGCCTGGAGAATTACTTTTTAATGATTGATTTAAACAAAATCTACTGTTCACTGCTGCTTTGAAGTACTTTTAACATTCAATCTTCCTCTCGTGGCTTGCATGTTTGCAGAACCAAGGCAAGTGGCCCGCCCTGTACAGAATCGAGAAAGATGTGAAGAAGAGACAATCATTTCTGGATCCGAACCACACACACTTCATCCTGGTGGACAACGGCACACAGATGCAGTTCACTGTGGAGATTCCGTTCCGTGCCAAGCTGGAGGAAGCAATTGCTGCACAGAAGACAGACACGGGGACAGGTGATTGGTTGTGTGACTTTGCCTTGCCAGTCTATGGTTTCGTTTTTGTCTAGGAAAGTTAACCCTTCCAGCCTCACCCATTTTTGTGCCCTCCTTAACCCCAGTCCCAACCAATATAGGAGTGTTTCAGAAAAAGAGGCATACATTCTAAAAATGATGTAGTACCTTTGTGATGAGGTTTAGATAATTTCAAATAACTGAGTTTAAAGGTAAATGACAAAATATTATGAAAATTAAAGTTTAATTAGGTTCGCTAATTTCGAAAAATTGCAGCTTCAGTACCCCCCGAAACTGAGAATATATGCTCTTGGGATCGTGGGAGGTACAAGCACTGCTGAAAATATATGCGCATGGGGCTGGAAGGGTAAAGGGAATGTTGAATGACAGCAGTGATTATGCTGTTGAAGGAAGGTAAACAGGCATAAAGAGAGTGCAAAGAGATGGAACAGACATTATAGCCTACAAAAACTGTGTGGAGACTTTGCATGTAGGTCAATGGAAATGAGTCACTGGGTGAACAAAAAAGCTGGAAGCATTTGTTTACCTGAGCTATTCCTTAGACATGGAAAATGTCAGCGGTTTATATAAAAGTTTTCAACCTTGAACAAAAAAACTTTTTACAATAGAATTTTACCCATACATTTCTCTAGAAACTCTTTTAAATTTATAATGGATAAATGTTAAAGTTGCTTTCAATGAGAATCCCAGTCTTCTTATCCGGCAAAAATTCTTCTCAGGGTCATGATAGATCCACAAAGCTGACTCACTTCACTTTTTGCCTTTAAAGTGCAATAAATATCTCTGTACTGTTGTCAGTGTCTACTATCCAAGTACAGTATTTCTTATCACTGACCCCCGTTGGCATGTGCAGGATTAATTTAAAGAAAAATCATTATCTTATTGGATGAAGGTCAAAGTTTGACAACTTTTTCTTTGTAACTTTTTTTTTCACGAACTGCACCCTGTTCATGATGGGCCATATCATCGAAATTATTTAAATGTAAAAATATTGGGTTTTCATCATGCACAAGCTTAGAAAAAAGCTTTAACTATGATGAAAAAAAATCAAGCTTTGTAAAAGGTTTTTTTATTATAAAGAAAAAAAAGAAAACCATCTTTGCTACTATGTTTAGTCTCAGTTTTGAAATGTTGTGACACAGATGTATGTATATACCGTCAAAATGATCCCAGATGATCACCCATTGTAAAGGAGAAAAGTTGTTGTCTTTGACAGGGGGTGTCTTGGACAGTATTGTTATAATGCTAAAAAGAAGGCAAGTGAGAAAATGGGAAGTCGTCATTTGTACAGGGGATTGTCTCAGACAGGTGGTTGTTTGAGCATCATTTTCCCTTGCCCACATTTGTGTGTACAGAAACAAACATACAAACAAACTCACAAACAAACATACTAAGAAACATACCAAAAAACATACAAACAAACTTTGTGACAGACATACAAACAAACATACAAACAAACTTTCTAACGAACGTACAAACAAACATACAGACAAACATACAAGCAAACGTAAAAACAAACCCACTAATTGGTAGATAACTTTGTGTGTGAGCAGATGCTGTTGCTGTCCCTGTATGTCTGCTGGTCCTGGAGGGTGGGCCCGGCACTCTACAGACGGTGCACTCCTCCCTGATGAGTGCCACGCCCACTGTTGTCATCAAGGTAGGATTTTTCTGTCTTTGTAAGCAAGTACAGTATAACACGGATAGCTCGCATTGATCGGGACAGGCCTCAGTAATTCGAGGGATCCGTAGTTCGAGTGTTACCTTGCAAAAATGAAGAAGAAAATAACCCGGGACAGCAGGCACAGTTCGACGTACGAGTAATTTTGAGTCTGCTGTGTTTGACCTATCCGTGTTATACTGTAAGTAGTTAAGTAGGTAAGTAGGTAAGTAAGTAGGTAAGTAAGTAGGTAAGTAAGTAAGTAAGTAGGTAAGTAAGTAAGTAGGTAAGTAGGTAAGTAAGTAAGTAAGTAGGTAAGTAAGTAAGTAGGTAAGTAAGTAAGTTAATAGGTAAGTAAGTAAGTAGGTAAGTATGTAAGTAAGTAGGTAAGTAAGTAAGTAAGTAAGTAAGTAAGTAAGTAAGTAAGTAAGTAAGTAAGTAGGTAAGTAAGTAAGTTAGTAGGTAAGTAAGTAAGTAAGTAAGTAAGTAAGTAAGTAAGTCAGTAAGTAAGTAAGTAAGTAAGTAAGTAAGTAAGTAAGTTAGTAGGTAAGTAAATAAGTAAGTAAGTAAGTAGGTAAGTATGTAAGTAAGTAAGTAAGTAAGTAAGTAAGTAAGTAAGTAAGTTAGTAGGTAAGTAAATAAGTAAGTAAGTAAGTAGGTAAGTATGTAAGTAAGTAAGTAAGTAAGTAAGTAAGTAAGTAAGTAAGTAAGTAAGTAAGTAAGTAAGTAAGTAAGTTGAATTAGTGTTCAAGGCCTGTGGCCCACCTCACATCATACAACTCACTCATTTGTCAAATAAAGTTTCCATATATGAAAAAGTACAGTTTGTGCTCATATCTCTCATCATGGGTCAAACAGTGTTTGCATATTTCTGTCACTGGGCTAAGTCAGGCTTGGAGGAATTAGCAGTTTCCTTTGAAGGAAAAAATGTAGACGTTAGAAAATAAAGTAATGTTTCTGTCTTGATTCTTGTCGAAGCATTGAACTGGATGCTTCTATTTCCTCCATGTCAGGTCATCGCTTTGTCCCAGCACTGCTGCCTATAATGTCAATTTGTCCATCAACTGATCTGACAATCAAATATTACAGATCAATTATTAGTTCAAATGAAACCTCGACATTAGTTACAGGTATTTAGAGTTAGGAACGTTTTAGTACTTGTTCATGATCTAGTATCCCCTCCGAGACAAGAATGATAGAACATTGCAATAACTTTTCCTGATCAAGAAGTTATTGCATTTTTAAAAAACATTGCTTGAGTACTTCACATGTTCAACTCTTGCATTTACTGTCTGAACTGCTCAATACTGCATTCTTTGTTTAATATTTTTTTTGGTCAACTCTGATTAATTTTTACAAACAATTAAACAATTGTATTGAAGCTGTCAAACATGTCTGATTGCCTCCGTCAGACAGCCACTGTGCTTGATGAAACAAAAAGTTAATTGCTATTTCTTATCCCATACTCTTATGTTTGACTATAACAATCAGTCCACTTCCATCCCCCTACCTCTGACCATAATCCCAATACCCACTCTGTAAACTTGTGTGGACCCCAAAAACAATATAATAAAAGTTAATTCATAACACCTCCTGCTTATACTGTCCTAGGACTTCTTACTTTTACTTTTCTAAAATGAGTTTTTATTGTTCACAGGGATCTGGAAAAACTGCTGACATTCTTGCCTACGCCTATCAGAATGCTCGAGAAGAGGAAGTCATTGGTTTGGATCAGCAAGGAAATGAAGTGAAAGGGTAAGCTGGCCTTTGACCCAAACTTTGCTTGAGCTTCTTGTTTCTTTATGTGTACATGAACAGGTTTGATGATAAAAACGTGGCATACACCATTTTTCAAGTTGAGCTGTAACTGGTACTGTCGTATCTAGACAGTTTTCTTTTTTCACAAAATGCGATTTTTCCTTTTCAAAGAACTTCAGAAAGTTAGGCTTCTTTTACAAAACGCTCCAAAGTCAGTAGAACTTTTTTGACGAACTGTGAAATATCCTCCTCTTGCCAATTAAGTTTTTGCCTCAAGTCACATGACTTCACTTGTGGTCGACAAAAGTTTGTCAGCAATTCTTTCTCTTCTTTATCATCATAATGAGCATATGCTGCATTTTGTCCAAAAGTGTGTGAAGATCTCATCAATTTAAAGGAAATGAACCCATATTTCATCATACCACAAATATCAACTACACCTTACAGCATAGGGTACTTACTCTAAAAACAAAGTTGCTCAAGATTATTCTATAAATGGGTGAAGAACAGAAATCTTTCTCAAAACCGGAAAAATGTATGTGTTGCATTGATTTTGTCACGAAACTGTTCAAATGTAAGTCGTTCAGTAGGGTATGGTGCTGTGGTTACAAAGCTAGTCTTACCATGTGCTATGAGTTTGCCAGTTGTCAGAAAGGTAATATTTAGTATTGTGAAAAAAGGACTAAATGTAAAAAGTTGCCTTTTTGTTTCAAATTTGATTTCTTTCTGATGAAAGTTTAAAATCTTCTGCAACTTTTTCTTTTCTCCCATTTAAATTTTAAGATGTTTCTGATACCTTGGAGGCTATGGTACTAAAGTTTTACAAAGAACACGTCTCACTTTTTTACTCAGCCTGTCCTTGTGTGTGTATATGTTAAAGTCTAACGAAATATTTATACAAATTCATCCACATTCATGCAGCCAGTTTTGCCTGATCTCTATGCCCCAGGACCAACACTATTCTCGACCCGCATGTACTTGCCGAGATCACAGAGATGGTGCAGACGACCTTCGGAGAGGCTAGCCTTGCCACTCGGGTTCAGTGGGTCCGCGAGTGCTGTCGCAACCTTGACCTGCTGTCTGTCTTTGAGTTGGACTCAAAAAATTCTGCCAGAGACGTTGATCTTGCTATCCTGAAGGCCTTACTGAAAGGTGAGGGATATCATTTTACTGGCTATGGTATACTGTAAATTTTATTATGACATATTCCTTAAAAACGGAAGTGCTGATGGCTTTTTGCATCTTCACGTATGATCTTAAAGCATTATGCTTTGCATGGGCAGTAGACATTAAGGAAGTAGATTGCCCAAGTACTACTTCCCTCCTTCCTGATCTTGACTTCCTTGATGTGATCTAAAGGAGATACATGGTCGGTACATTTGGAAACTTTCTCTTCTCAACATGATCGTTCTTCACAAAATTCAAAATCACTTTTGAAATTTGGATTCTAGTGTATGTGACAAGAACAGTCTCATTTTCAGTCACCAGGTAAATCTGACATTTTTCATTGCTTTAACAAGAAAAATAGTATCATGGTTTTGTCTATAAGTTGTTATTAATTTTTCTTTCAGCGAACAAGCATCAAGTTATGGATCAGCTGAAGCTAGCTCTTGCCTGGAACAGAATTGATGTTGCCAAGTCTGAAATCTTTACAGATGAGCGAAGATGGCCTGTAAGTAACAGTGCAAAGTTATTTGTTTTTGTTTTGTCACAGGAAAAGAATTGTGTTGAGCTATGACCTCTGAGGACTGAAACGCATTCTTCAGCTTGTAACCCCTTTTCCTTTCTGCTGATCCAGTGTGTGTCAAAGCATAATGTAAATGTAACTGTAGAATTTTTATGCCCATATCAACACTATTCGATCATTTAGGAGGAAAACTGCTTCTCCTCTGCGTCCCAGAGGAAAGACGGAGATACACAATAAAGATTCTCCTCTCACAGGAGTTGAGTTCACGTCTTCTGCGCGCCGTGGCAAGTAAAGTGTCTAATTGCTAAACCACAGACGCCTAAAAGTGTTGTGGCGTAACTGTAGCAATAGTCATCTCAAGGGGAATCAGACGCCGGGGTCCTATAGGTTCATGAGAAAAAGGCTAAAAAGATTACTTATGTTTTAAATATCCCAGACTAAGCTGATTGAATGTTTACTTTTAACAACAAACTTTTTTACCTATGCTAAACCTACATGTACACTCTGATGAAAATTGTAAGTTTTTCCTTATAGGGATCAAGTTTTGCTTACCTCAGTCTTGACAAACAGTTCTGTGGAGCTCAAATGATTAAAGTTCATGACTATTGTAAAAATAGTTCCCATTTCTGGTGATTTTTGAAAAAGTGGCTTTCATTGTGCATGATCATAGAAAATGATGGACTCTTGTAGGATGGAGAGACAAAACAGGAGTAGAAAGGAAGTAGAACCTGCCTGTGGTGCTAGAGAGAGAGA